AAATTTTTGAAAGTATGATATCTCAACTGTCTGGTTTCTGAGTTATGACACTCAAAAGTTGAGTCCAGCTGAGTGATCTGCCTCATATTGATCTAGGTCACTGCAACCTATATGAAAGTAAAAAACACTAACAAGTGCTAAGTATCCCATTGCTTTGTAACTTTTGTGACTCTACGTTTGAATACTTGAGGAATCCAACTATCATATCGAAAAATGGTGTGGCATATTCAGAGTGCATTACATTTTAAGCTTAAAAAATTCATTGTCATTTGTTCATTATGAAGGACACTCCACATTTTTATGTACAGACACAGATGTGTCTGTACATATTGCTGTCACCTGCGTCTGTCGTCGCCGACGTCGCCGTCGTGCACTTTCATTGTAAACACGTTAAGTGGAAGGCAGTTTTACATTTTTATGTACAGACACAGATGTGTCTGTACATATTGCCATCACCTGCGTCTGTCGTCGCCGATGCCGTCGCTGATGCCGATGCCGTCGCCGATGCCGTGCACTTTCCTTGTAAATACGATAAGTGGAGGACAGTTTTACTTTTTGGCTTTATATTTACAGAGCTGATGAATATTCATAAAACGCAGGTCAAGTTCGAAAATCAGCATGATCAGGCCATTATTGTAGAAGTTATGCTGTTTTTTCTTTTTTCAGCATATATGCAACCCTGTAAACACATTTTAAGGAAAACCGTTAGGCCTGTTGTCATGAAACTCACAGAAGTAATCAATCTTACTAAAACGCAGGTCAAGTTCATAAATCAGCATGATCGGGCCACTATTTTAGTAGTTATGCTGTTTTTTCATTTTTCAGCATATATGCAACACTGTAAACACAATATAAGAAAAACAGATAGGCCAATTGTCATTGAACTTACAGGAGTGGTCAATCTTACTAAAACACAGGATGAGTTCGAAAATCAGCATGATTGGGGCATTATTTTAGAAGTTATGCTGTTTTTTCACATTTACTCAGATTCAATTCTTAGGCATGTTAATAGCCTTATTATTTAAGTAATAAGATACGTAAAAGTGTTTGTTTGACATTTCCTGCATCTTTACAACATTGTTAGTTGATTATGTAAAAATGATGGTAAACTTGTTATCGTGTATTGTGTAATAAAGTGTCAAAAATGGAAATAAACTCATATCATTGCAGTTTGTCAGATTCAATCATCCACTATGTTCAGAATCTCAGAATGGAGGAAATTGGACATTTAACACTG